GCAGCACACCAACAAATGTATTTTCATTTAGAAGTTAGTAATTCTCCTTTAACATTTCAACATTATCAAATCTCTAAACAAATGAATAAGGAAAATGTCAAAAAGGAGGAAACTGACATGTACCACTGGCTGCTGATACTGACAACTGGATGTCAAAGTTCGTGACCTCGACACGACCTCCACTCAGGTGAAAACGGTCGTGTTGGACTGAACATCACACACACTCATGCCAAGTTGTTCATGTCGTAGTATTGTTACAGTCGGGACATTTCGCATATATTTTTCACAAATTGAAATTAATCAAACAACGCAACCTTTCAATAAAGTACAACATTGTTATTTCAATCATGAAAGCATAATTCATGAAACTGCAATTATAAATTTTCATCCCTCTCCCCTTCTCTCGCTCTCTCTATCACACACACACACAAACGCGCGCGCACAGAGAGAGAGAGAGAGAGAGAGAGAGAGAGAGAGAGAGAGAGAGAGAGAGAGAGAGAGAGAGAGAGAGAGAGACAGACAGACAGACAGACAGACAGACAGACAGACAGACAGACAGACAGACAGACAGACAGACAGACAGACAGACAGACAGACAGACAGACAGACAGACAGACAGACAGACAGACAGACAGACAGACAGACAGGCACGCACGCACGCACGCACGCACGTATACATGGGTACGATAATTCTGTAACTCTCTATATAATTCGGTTTGTGTAATGTACAACCTTAATGTCAGAGTTCTTGGTTGTGTGTCCCTGGTATGGTGATCTACCTTCAGTTGTTGGCAATCTATAGCCCGTTTTTATATTGTATTGTGATCTTTAGTTAAACTGTTTTAGATTTAATTACTAGTTTTAAATTCGTCTCTGTGATAGTCTAGTTATTTTACTGTCCTTCGTAGACAGCTTTTTATAATTTACTATTACTTACTATGTCTAGCAATTAATTGTTCTCGTAACGATCTGGCTGTAATATTGCCGATGTGACAATAAATTTTAACTCACCCACTCTCTCTTGGTTTTGTTACTGCATCAGTTACATACAGGTCTATGGTTTCACCAGAGTGACGTTCATACACAGACTGTCACATCGAGCTGACAAAGAAACGTGAAACTCAAACCAACAAATAGAGATTCCCTGCACAGATAAGGGACTCTAATCTAAGAACCAAATCCAGGATAGTGTTCGATTCAGGTCGACCCACCCACAACGCTTGTCTCTATATACGTTAACACGTAGTTTGCGTCGGATGTTACAGTACACCTATTGTGTTTTAATGTAGCGCTATGTTACGAATTAATGTTATGGCGTTCATCTGAATTTGGAATCTGAAGGAAGATATATTGAACATAAATTTCTTAACGTATGTTATATCCACAAACAAAGTATACTTATGTACACTCAAGAAATCGTCATGAGTGATTGTTATCTAAATAGCACCAAACAACGGCTCTAATTCAACAATAAGCGCGTATGCATATCGTAGTCCAAGACTCGGCAGAGCTCGGGCTGTGAAGTCACAGGCAGCTTTACATGGAGGAGAGGACAAATATAGCAAACACAATATGATAAAACAAGTTATAGTGCAAATTGAATTAGATCCACCAACATTTATTATGCATTCTAAAGCAATAAGGTTTCGACACAGACCCACATGAGTTCGACTGAAACTTGATATTGATATTGATTTTTACTGAAATGATAAGTCTAAGTAAACTTAGGCTCAATATTATACGTTACACTGCCATACTGAGTCTAACTAATCCAAATAGAAGGTCGCGTCAGGTAGCCTTTGGGACTGACCTATCAGAAAACAGCTTACCAAATGGGGAAAGTTAACATTCGCACATACCGTTTGAACCTTTACCCCCTGAAATCGAACGATTCCTAATGATATTTTCTGCACGATCGCTTCCAAGTGATACGTGGATACTTCGTTTCGGCAAACATGTTCGCAGTCATATAGTAAATGGTCGAATTGTTCTTGTTTGGTTGCTGTTTAACGCCCCAGTCAGCGATGGTGATATTTTCATCCACTGGTTTGCCTCCTCAGCACTGGAGTATTTAATGGAAGTGATCATTCACCTCGAACATGGAACAACTCTCACTCGGTCACTTTCTACCACACCTTTATTGATCTAGATACGGATGCCATCTGCCCGGATAGACGTTTACATAACAGCCTTGCTTTGATTTTGCCAACATGAGGAGACATTTTGATATATATGGATACACGAGGAAATAGATCTACAAGGAGCCAGTTTTGCCAAGAAGTAACTTAAGCATCAGGTAATCTATTTCAACGCTGAAGATGCTGCTGAGGACTATTCTGTCGTTCTTCCCTAAAACCCTCTCAAGCGGCTTCAAAGTCTAGGCCTGAACATAGCGATAGGCTCGTCTCCCAGGATGCCCCATGCGTAACAAATCGAATTAAGGTCCTGTGGTCTCGCTGACCCGTCGTTGTGTGTGATATTGTTGGCCTGTTAGTAAGCAAAGCCTGTTGATCCACAAAGATGAAGTAAGGACCATCTTGTTTTGCTGGAGGAATGATGACAGGTGTGACAATCACATCTCTGTGCATGATGCACCATCTGATAACCACAATGCTGATTCTTCAACCAATTTGGATGCTGTCACCCTGTCACCATCGGGCTTTCACGTGCAAAACGACCATATTCTGCAATGGGACAGTTGCCGTTGATGTTGTTCCCCCCAACATTAGCCTAACCGTCGTTGAAGCCTGTATCTCGACTCGTTTTGGATAAAAACATTTTGACAACTGTTAACCCTCAAATTGATTTTTCGCAACCACGCCGTGCCAATTTACACTTGTTAGAAGAGTATACAATGTACCTGATCTAGACCTACCAGTTGTCAAACTTCCAACTTTGGGACGAAGCGACTGTAACTGAGTTGTTTACATCGCTGAATATGTGTGCTGGTGATTTGCTGGCTCTGTGAATGTGGGTTCGAATCCCGGATGGGACTCAACCTATAAGCAAGTCCTACAACCTGTACGTTACTGAGAATGTTAATTCACAAATATAACAGCAGCAACAGTCGATCTTCTAGAATAGGCCGGGGATACAGAATCAGAGTGGACACGGAAATGAGCTTCACAAGAACCCGGATCTTGATGTAATGTAAGAGGAGGGAGGCACGTGTTGTCTCACTTCAATAGTAAAAGTGGTAAGTTCTGTGGCATGCTAGAATCGCCTACAGCTGTTCTCGATCTGCGAGGGTCTCTTAGCATGACGCGTGACTCCAACAGCATCAAAATACAGCAACTTCCACATAGCTGCTTTAGACATTCCACATTAGAAAGTATTACATTCCTACCAACTAATTAATAGTTAAAACACAATGCCATGAACTTCTACTGAATCTTAACAACAACAAGGTAATACAATCACAACATTGTTTAACAAACCATTTCACTGCAATATAATCATATCATTAACCACGTAAAAGCTATCATAACATTAACCATACCCCAAGCTGGGCTGCCCAAAGACCATTTCTTGTTTTGGCGATTTTTAAGCTTAGGGTTGTTAAACTTCACAGCTACTACTTCTCGTATTTACTGCTTAAAATATGCTGCACGCCACTACATTCATTTTGTTCAAGTTGTAAACATTAACAATATTTAGTCACTATGGTTATTGAATTTATTTACATTTTATTGTATCTTACTTTTGTTCAAGTTGTCAACATTTACAACATTTAGTCACTAAGGTTATTTAATGTATTTACATTGTTTTGTATCTTACTTTTGTTCAAGTTGTAAACATTTACAATATTTAGTCACTAAGGTTATTGAATGTATTTAAACTGTATTGTATCTTACTTTTGTTCAAGTTGTGAACATTTACAATATTTAGTCACTGAGGTTATTGAATTTATTTACACTGTATTGTATCTTACTTATTGACGTATATATTGTATAGTATCTGACCATATCTATTTTCAAAGGTTGAAGACAATCACTTTCAAACTTGAAAGCAACTCCCCTCTCTGACGTTTACTATAAGACACTACTGCAAATGCTGGACTTACCCATTGCATTAGGGGTAGGACATTCAAGCAAGAAGTGGACCTGCCCCTGGGTATAGATATTGTTTGGTCCCTTTCTTCAACGTAAGCTTAGGTTTATCGATAATCTGTCATGTATGATGCTGTTTGCAATCTTGTCTGGAAGGGATAAGTTTGTGAAATGTAGACATTAAATCCATGAAGCTCTTGGGATACTGCTTGTAAGCTGACTATAGGAAAGTTGATCGCTCCTGTGAGACAGTCTTGTGTTAATACCGCGTCATTGTGAATCTATGGGTATGAGTGTTATTCCAGACAAGCAGAATAGCGACTCGTGCCCCTCTGGAAGGATTTCATATTGGCGCATGAACATCAGAACGATAACTCTATTCCTGTTTGATTCCAATGGCACTTAGGGTTTAGGAATCATAAATGGTATTTCTTTTATTGAATGTGCAAGTAAAATAATATTTTTCATCAGGTACATTGAATCCCACAGCAAAAAGTGCTTTCAAATGTGAAACGTAAGCCATGTTAAAGATTATGGTTGATTAGTTGTTATATAAATATATACCTTTTGTATTCCTTTCCTTCAAGTAAATCAGTAGTAAGGGAATAGTCAATTCTCTACTGTATAATATCATTGATATACCTGAAGATGAATTTACATTGCCTGGTCCCATTACCTTCGTTTGCTTTAGCCAGTCTGACAGCCATTATGTGTACAACTCAAGAAGTGTCGACAGTCACCAGGTGACATGTTCTACATGCCATCCTTATGGTGCTGTAAAGGTTTTCAGTTACCTTCACTGAAGGTCAGCTCCAGTAGAATGGTTAATGGTGAGCTAGGTTTACTTTTAACTGTACTCATGCAACCATTTGTGTTGGTATGGCATGTTTTGTTTCGTGAAGAGGCGCACATTTTCTCTCAAGTGTTTGTAGAGGAGGATAAACTTGACGGTTATTCAAGCAGAAGGAGAAAATACTTGGGTTGAGAGTAACCTCCTACATTGGGCTGATAAAAGTAGCCGCTTCTTATGACAAGTATTGGCTGTAAACAAAGAAACATATACGAACAAGTCGTTTCACAGACTCGCCCCTTTACTGCAGAGAGTCCAAGGGTATAGCCTGTTTAAGTGGACAATGATGAAACAACCGTTGTTACGAACCAGAGTGATGTAGTTGCTCTTCCATGCTATCAGTTTTTAACTCTATGAAACGACAAACCTTTGACAATTCTGTAAAACAACAACACCATACACTATATTTCGTGGGTTAGAATTTATTTCAGCCATGCAACATATGTCTGTTTATAAGCCTGGTTACATTGTATATTGTAATTACATGCTAACTAGATATCAGCTCCAGAATGTTCAGAAAGTTTATTGTTGCTAGTAACTGCATGTTGTAAGCATGAAATCGTCTCATAAATTCCACGCTTAATGCAAAAATGTGATAATTTATGTTCATTTGTTGAAACCCAAAGCTTCGTGGTATAGCGATACAGTGGAGTGTGGAAGTGCATTATGCAGTGGATAATGCCATGGCAGATAAGGAATACAACCGCCCATGTGTTCCGGGTACTCGCTTTTTAGTGTACATTTTATGAAGCGTAACAACATTTGTTAGAGAAACTTTGCGATTAATCTCCATCATTGCTTTGGATTCAGAAGTGATAAACATATTGATAGAATCGTTCGGATTCACCTGTTGCAATATTCTTTTCAACAGTGTCATCGCTATGATGTCACTATCAGCATACAACGGTGCAATCTCATGGCCGTATTCTGTCACAGCCAATCGTCCATATCCTAATACACGTCCGGTGTTGGAGCGAGCAATGAGAATATATTTTGCATGGCCGATGATCCAGTTTTTGATGTAGTAACACCTCTCGGTTCCACATAACGTTTCGTCGTATGCCTTCAGCTCACTAAACATGGCACTTTCGTATGGAAGTATTCTGATATCCGGACTCACTTCCGCTTCCGGAATTGCTCCCAGTATTACTTCCGCTGGTCCTCGTTTCTGGTGTACGTCATAGTAGAAAGTGAAGCCACTGGTGTCGTAAAGGTTAACGTAGGTGGCCGATATGGTGATGTTGGCGTCACCCACTGCCTTGAGGGACTGCACGTTCACATCGCGTCCGATTCCTTTGCCTCTGAGGTCTTTCCTGACAATATAAATGCCGCCAGCTACTGTCTCCTCGGTATAACACACCAAGACACGGCAAGCTGTTAAAATAATCACAATGAATACAGATAGATAGGCATAAGAATTATTAAAATGTCTGAACTTTTAGGTCGGTTTGTAGCCTAGTAGGTAAAGCGTTCGCTCATCACGCCAAGACCCTGGTTCGATTTCCCACATGTTGGAAACCCATTTCTCGTTTCCCCCGCCGTGATATTGCTGGAATATTTCTAAAAGCGGCATAAAACTATACTCACTATAAGCTCAATTGGGATTTTTTTGTGAGAATTGAGCAAGCAATGCTTATCATTTGAGTTGTACCCTGGCTTTGTGGGAGACTGATCTTGAAGTCTGTCAAGGTTTTATGTTCCAGACTTGATTAATAGTGAGTGAGTGAGTTTAGTTGTAAGCCGTTTTAGCAATATTCCAGCAAGTATCTCGGGTACACCAGAAATGGGCTTCACATACTCACTCACTGTATCAGGTCAAGTCTAAGATATTTATTGAATGGTCTCCGATCCACATAAAATGAGTTACACTGAGGTAGTTTTACATAATCGGATACATGCAAATATTTAGCAGTTTATTTCGAAGAACAAATTCATTTCTATCATATGAGGCCACTATCAATATGACATCATCATCTCTTGAATTGAGGAGAGACGTAAAAGCAGATACAGAATAATTTGACAGATGGCGCCCCAGTCTTTCAAAAATAAGATGAATTTCATTTTCCATAGCTAAATGACACAATGGGCATAACCTCTTCGATGTTTCAGTAGACACGTTTCTTCACGAGATCTGTTATATGGAGTGGAATAATATTCTTTGTACAACATATTTATAGATTGTTCACCTATTTGTTTCAAAAAGAGTTTAACATCTCCAACTGATGTCCCCCGCACTACACAAAGCGATAAACGTCTATGACCTCTATATGACCTCTGGATGTCCTCCCACATCCGACTGACTTATCACTAACTCAGGCCTTTAATGTATAGTAAATCGAAGCATAATTATTCAACCATACCTTCAAATCAACGTTAATGGTTACGTAAACAAGACCCCTTTATAAAACCTGGGTTACCTTGACCAATTTACTTCAAGGCACACCTTAAGCCCATATCAAGTCAACGCAACATATCATAGCTTCGTGGATCTACACTTGTTGTTTTATCTTTGTATCTAACTTTGTATCACGTGACCTAACTTATAGACTATTGGTTAGTTATGTCAACGCTGGTAAGGTTTCTTTGTTGTTTAACCTCGCACTCCGCAATATTCCAGGTATATGGCGGTGGTCTGTAAGAAATTTCGAGTCTGGACCAGACAATCAGGTGATCAACAACACGCGCATGATCTATGCAGTTGGGCTAATATGACATGTGTCCACCAAGTGAGCGAGTCTGACCACCCGATCCCGATAGTCACCTTTTACGACAAGCATGGGTTGCTGAAGACCGAGGTAGTAGTAGTAGCCATCAATCTCGAATTAATCAAAGCGTCATTGTTGTTGTTGTTGTTGTTTAACCCCGCACTCAGCAATATACCAGCTATAAGACGGCGGTCTGTAAATAATCGAGTCTGGACCAGACAACGGATCAACAGCACGCGCATGACCACCCGATCCTGTTACTTGCCCCTTTCGACAAGCATGTCATGTAAAACTGAAAATTGCTTTTAGCTACTGGACTAATGTTTGCTATTCTAACCGGGATCTTCAGTGGTTCGTAATACCAAACAACCTTACCCCTTAGCCCTTAGCCTGCTACTTAGGACCAGAAATGGCATTCGTTGTGCCATACTGCACTGACACTTACCTAGTATTTCTCCCGTGTCGGACTCCGCCACAAACCAGGCCCTAGAGTCCATGTCAAACGAACAGTACATGAGGTCAGTCGGAATTTCCCATTCCTCTATGTCTGTTAAGTTCTTAATAGCGGTTATATCAGCTCGGGTTCCCCTCCTCACGGAATACTTCGGAACGACAGCAGCCATGATTTAGTTGTAATAGACCCTGGAGGCTCTGTTATCAGATATTCACCATCGAAGGTAGCACAGTCAACATATGCGGTCGCGCCAGCGAGTGTGTGTTACAGTAGAGTTTAAATACTTAAATACAAACGCTTTTTTAAGGTCAGCCAATGCACTTCTATGATGCAGTAACATGATTGGAGCAGTGCTTTCCTCCTTGCTGATTAGTATGTTTATATGTAATATGAGCAGCACACATATACAGGAAGCTGACGACTGATGTAAGAGACAAACTAATACCGTTAATGTTAGTGTTGGTAGTACAACATATTATGTTTAATGGTAGTCCTGACATTTAATTAATTTTATAAGACATATATCGTGCATAGGGGGTACGAATTAGGCATCGAATGTGTTAAAGGTAGGATATCTGTACAGTTAGAAGGTATGTTGGCCAGCGAAACAATAAAGCTATAACATCAATATATTTGACTAGAGCTTATGTCCGCCACTGAAAGTGTTAAAGGTGGGATATCTGTACAGTCGACTAGAACACATGTCCGCCACTGAAAGTGTTAAAGGTTTGATATCTGTACAGTACATTGGAACCCATGTAGACTACTGAAAGTGTTAAAGGTGGGATGTATGTACAGTAGACTGGAACCCATGTCAACTACTGAAAGTGTTAAAGGTGGGATGTCTGTACAGTAGACTGGAACCCATGTCCTCCACTGAAAGTGTTAAAGGTGGGATATCTGTACAGTAGACTGGAAGCCATGTCCTCCACTGAAAGTGTTAAAGGCGGGATATCTGTACAGTAGACCGGAACCCATGTCCGCCACGGAAAGTGTCTGTACAGTATACCTTAACCAATGTTGACTACTGAAAGACATTTCATTGGCAACCAAGACTGATGACATCATTAAGTTTTCGAAAGGTAAAGGGGTTGACAAGAACGGATCTCGCTGGTGTTGATGGGTAATGTGCTGATCTTGTCGAGGGGTTGTGACCCTTGGACGACCGCTCCGAGGAAGGTCATCTGTGGTCTTTGTAGCGTTGTATCGATGCTGGAGACGGTAAATAGTGGTTATGTTTACGTCGAAATGACGGGCACCATTTGGACAGACACTCCAGCTTCCGAACGTCTGATAGCCGTGTTTCTTTCAATCTGAGTTAAGCGTGGCATTGTTGAACAAGTAATAGACCTAATTTTTGTGCAGTCTTATACGCACTAATGGTGGTGACAATTCGTGCATGTTAGATTTCACGAGAAGTGTGTACATGCTACCCACATGTTCATTTGTATGGTGCGTTTTGGTTATTCCTTCTATTGATGTGTTTTTGCGTATTGATAACACCATCAGGCTTCACTGTATGCCAAAAACCCATATTAATTTAGGGTCCGAGTTTGTTACCTATTTGGGTAAAAAACTCGCGTTTCTTATGCGTGTGAGTATATATAAGTTAATATGAAATGATTCAATGATTACTGAGACGACAGACTGACTGACTGAGTTTGGTTTTACGCCGCTTTCAGCAATATTCCAGCAACATCACGGCGGGGGACACCAGAAATGGGCTTCACACATTGTGCCCATGTGGGGATTCGAACCCGGGTCTTCGGCGTGACGAACCAACGCTTTAACCATTAGGCTACCCCACCGCCCCTTACTGAGACGAAAGCCTAATTAAAGAAAGCTAATAATTGAAGAGTATACATGTATAATGACCATAATATTTTACAGAAGCATAGCACACACGTTGCACTGCTCATGTCAGCAGACAGCTAATTTGTGAGGGTTTGGGCGATATCAGGTGATCAGATAAACAGTACTGTGATACAGTAACACCAACACTACCCCCACCCCTTCTCCGCTGCGTGTATCATATCGTTCAGACTTCAGGTTTAGTTTTGTGATTCATATGTACACGTGTATGTACATAAATGTTGCAATGGTAAAGCTCCGGGGGTGGACAACCACTGGGTGCAGGTACACAGCCCAAGGTCGGGACACAGCCATGACGTCACGCCGGCAAGGTAGCCAGGTCTCACAGACGACCAGCTGTTCCCAACCGATGTTTGTAAACAAGACACTTTCCTTGTGTGAGCAGCAACTGGGTGCCGAGACCGAGTCATGACGTCATCATCGCCAGATATGACGTCTCGCCGCGAACATCAGTTCTGGCGGCAGATCTTCAGCTGAGAGATTGTTTTCATCACGCAGAGAGATAACAGTGGGCGTGTGTGGCATGTCTGACTACTTTGTCTCTGCAAATTATTGTTCCTAGATGAACATCCATGAAACTTACACAAGGAGTGACACAAAAGCAACTAACCATGAAGAAAAAAGGTGCAAAATTTGAAAATTGGTGACAATATAAACAACCATTTTTGCCCTCAAAATAAACTCTTGTCTGTTGGCAATTCCGTTTGTGGTGTAGTTCATTTTACTATCTATTCAATAAAATAAAATACAGGAAAATACAAGTACGCATGCACACAGGCGACGTGATCAAAGAAGGTATATTTAGTTTTTCGTGACATCTTTCATAAGGTTTCTGACCCGTGAAGATGAGGGTTAGAATTGGTCTTCAGTAACCCATGATTGTCGTAAACGGCGATTAACGGGATCGGGGGGTCAGGCTCGCTGACTTGGTCGACACGTGCCATCGTATCCCAGTTGCGTAGACTGATGCTCATGTTGTTGATCACTGTAATGTGTGGTTGCAGACTTGATTATTTACAGACCAGACCAGACCATCGCCATATAGTTGGAATATTCCAGAGTACGGCGTTAAACAACATCCAAACAAAAATGTCAGTAGTGTACAATAGTTCATATAGATATAGAAGTCCTCAAAATAATGACTCAACACGAATTTCCTGCCAGAACGCACTCACTCACTCACTCACTCACGTAACCTTAGGAGATTGTCCTCTGTTTACAGACAGTCACGATATAGCAGAACTGAAGAACACAGACTGTACAGTATGTATGGGGTAGGTCTCTTTAGGTGGAAGTTGAAGTGTCATGTATACCATGAAATCTGCATGAGATACTGGGTTGTTGTTGTTGTTGTTGTTGTATAACACTCAGCACTGTCAGCAGTATAACGGCTATATGGCGGGTTTTCCCTCTACGCCAGCCTGGTGGCCCTAGTACCTCGACTTGGGTGACACTGTCAAGTAGATCGTTAATACAGCTGCCCGTCAATGTAGACCGCAGGGATATACCCAACAGTTACCCAACATGTATATCTGACGTTTTTTACCCCTGTTGTAACCCTGGAGTGAATGTGTCACGACTGCTGATCAACAATCGAGACGCCATATCGCTACTGTCACTAAACTTCAGATGCACGATGTCCGTTGAGACCACCCAGTAATGCATGCTGGTCGCAAGTTTGCAAATCTACTACTAATTATAAGGCTTCCTTTTTTGCTGCTCAGGAACAGTCACTTCCCACTCGCAATCGCCTAAATGTGATTCTTAAAGAGAGGCACCCATGAAGGGCCACCTCCTCGTGGTGGGTGCTGGGTAACGCTAAGCGCCCTTCAAACCCCCGTTGTGGACCCGGGGGGACATTAGGTCCACCAACCTGTTTGCCGTGGGTTGCGCCCCTGTGTCGGTGGAGGACGGGATTCTGGTGGTTGAGGGCAAGGGCTCCAGAAACAGTGTTCCTTTGCCCAATACACCACTTCGACCCTTACTTCACCTAGACGGGTGGTAGAATGGGCCCGGTTCTACCAATCGGCTGGTCACGCCGAGCCCTGTGCATGGTTCATCTTTTTTGCACAAACTTTATTATTTTGGTCTTGGCTATTTTGCATTATTATGTACAAATTATTAATAGATTAATATGCCTAGAGTCCTATGCCAGAAGGCGGTGGCTCATGGGCCAATCTGGCAATATAAACCGCTGAATTCTGTGTTTCTCCAGAATGATGTCATGGGCGAACCAGCCTGACATTTTTTCTTTCAGATTCTACAGCTATTTATGATTTTATTTGCTGGAGTATAACATCCCTGTAGCCCTGGTGGAACAGCCTGGCTTCTGCTGTAACACCGTCCTTGTTGACACTCCATGGCGGGTGGGGAGCAGGGATGTTGAACACTTTTCCTACACCATGGCTTTTTCCATTCAATCTGGTTCATCAAAACACAAACGTAGACATGTAGTATCCACATCATCAGATGAAGGATCTCCTGATTCAGTTGACTCTTGGCCAAGATTCATTGTGCTTTCATCTATAGATGACAATCCTTTGAAACTGAACCCATTCGCCATTTCCAAGGGCATTCAAGGTGTCTGTGGGGAGGTGAAGGGCGTGACACGTCTCCGGAACGGATCATTGTTAGTGGAATGTCTGCGGAAGCAACAATCGGATAATCTGTTACTATTAAACCAGTTCGTCAATACACCCGTTGTTGTCTCGGTACATAGAACTTTAAACTCTTGCCGAGGTATAGTCAGAGACAGGGCTCATTGTCTTTCTGATATGAGTGAGGAGGACATTGCAGCTGAGCTGAAAATCAAGGGGTGATCGCTGTAAAGCGATTTACCAAAAAGAGAGATGATGGCAGTATTACTAAACTTACTACTTATCTGTTTACATTTGCACTTTCGACTCTTCCGAAGTGTATAAAAGCCGGATACTTTAACATTGGGGTGGAGGTATATGTACCAACTCCACTCCGATGTTTTAAATGTCAAAAGTTTGGTCATGGGTCCAAGTTCTGCCGGAACAACACGGTCTGTTCCCGTTGTGGAGGCGCTCATCAGTCTTCTGAATGCACCAATAACATCAAATGTGCGAACTGCGACGGAGACCACCTGGCCTCATCAAAATCCTGCCCATTATATGATCGTGAAACAAGAATTCAAAAAATCAAACACACGAACAATATTTCCTATGTTGAAGCGAAAAAGCTTGTTCCTCTCTCAACTGCTTCAACTATATTGTACTCAGATGCAGTGTCCTCTCGTACCACTGCCTCCAGACCTTCCCTGACTTCAACAGC